TTTCGTGCGTGGTTTTTTCGCCAGATGATCAAGGATGCTCCTGGATGGTCCTCGCCGAAGGGAAAACGCACACGTCCGAGCGATGCCAAGACGATGTCGTGGTGATCTTGCGCGGTGGTCTGCGCGGGTCGCCAGTGAGGGAGGCCGCACCGGAAGCAGGCCGGCCGCCCGAGTTATCTGGGACAACTTCGGCCTCCGACGCAGGATCCAGAAATTGCCCCTGACCACCCCCAGCCCCGATGAGGTCTTGGGCAAGACGACTAATACAAAAAATGGGAGAGAACGATTCAACACATAATTTTCTGCTATTTCTGCACAATTTTCTGACTGGAGGAGAACGGTTGAAAAATAGTTTTCCAGCCCGCGGCCGGTTTTTTGTAATCGTCATCCCGGGCGCCGCCGCGTGAACACGACCCCCGGTCATTTATTAATCGTCATCCTCCATTGCAGTCTGGGCCTCCGAGGCACGAATCAGGAGCTACCCCTGCCCCGGTGACTCTGGGCTCTGCAGCAATTGGGCGCTCACGCACGACCCTTACGGGGGCAGCTTGCTTGCGCGACTGTCCGCACAGCCGGCCCCGTTTCCTTCCGTCGCCCGCCTTGCCCTGGCGCATCTCGAGTAAGCCCTCAGGAGAGATGAAGCCCGTGCGAAAGTTCAGCAAGATGTCGCAGGTCCAGAAGGCGCACGAGACCCACTCGTAGTACCTCCGGAAGACGAGGTAGCCCTCGGGGAACTCGAAGACCTGCGTCGGGAGCATCGCGACGTCGTGGAAGCACATGGCCATGCCCACGAAGTCCCAGAGCATGCGGTACTTGGTGAAGGGGTGCAGGACGAGGAAGAGAGCGACGAGGACGGTCGGCGGAGGGCCCGTCGCGACTGCGCGGCGGCCCTCCCCTCTCCCGACCAGCCATAACTGGGGGAGCTGTGGTCCTTACCCCCCTGGAGGAACCCACCGCGTCGACGATCTCTCGAGAGGGGTGTCGACATCGATGGGTCCCCCAGGGGGGTGAGGACCACAGCTCCCCCAGTTGTGGCTGGCCTGCTCTCGTGCGGAGTGCGTCCCTCCTCGTGGAGCCTCCCGGGGGCCCCCCGTCGCCGCGCGGCTGGTTGCGCTCCCGCGTCGAAGGGCGGGGGCGGACGGACCCCCGCAGGGCCGGGGGGGCGGCGGCGGGGTCAGAGGCAGGGGCCCTGGGGCACGCAAAGGAATGCACACACACACACAAATCACAGGCGTCCCCACATTTTCCCATATGTTCTTGGTTTTTGTCTTCCCCATATTTCCAATATTTTCCAACATCTTCCCATAGTTCCCCATCTTTTCCCAGGTGTTCCTAGATTTTCGGGGGAATCGACGACTCAATGCGTCTGTGTGTGTTTCTTTCCCTCCTGCTCAGAGGGAGTTCCTCCGGCAGAAGCGGCCCGTGCAAGAAGGGGTCTGCCAAGCCCCTGCAAGCGGGGCGGCAGTACACGGGCCGGCAGCCGGGGGTGCGCTGCCGATGGTGCCCTCCCCTAACTGACCTGCCGCGCGCAGGTGCGAGGTGACCCCCCCCCGCCCAGAGTCCTGATGATGCGTCGACGTTGTTTGAAGGGGCCCTGGGACACACAAATAAATACACACAAATAAAGAGACCCCCATATTTTCCAATCTTTTCTGGGTTTTTGTCTTCCCCACCACTTCCCATATTTTCCCATAGTTTCTGGGGAGTCGACGATTAATTGTGTCTGTGTGTTTTTTCCCCTCCTGATTGTTGCCGTCCCGGTTCATCACGCCCTGGTGCGAGGCGCGTGCCCTGTCGACCCCTTCTCGCCCGACGAAGCCCCCGAGCTGCCGCCCCGTATATGCGAGCGCCCCGCTGGCAGCGGCGTGTTCCCCGACCCCAAAAGCTGGGTGTGCTCTTCAGGCCCCCAGGGCGGATTGTGCGAGGCTCTGCGCCGGGTATGCTTCTGGGCGGCCCACAAGAGGGTCCAGCTGACAGTGTGTGGGGGGGGTGCAATAGATTTGGGGCAATCGTATTGCAAGTGCATTGCGCGCTGGAGAAAGTGTATTGCAGTGTATTGCAAGTAGTGTGATGCACGCGAATGTTCCCCGACCCCACCACCCTGGGATAAGCCCCCCTCTGCGATCCCCCGGAAGGGATCCAGGGGGGCCCTTCTGGGGAGGAAGGAACAGCGACACGAGCATAAACCTTCGACGGTCCGCGCGGATTTCTTGGACCTGTGCTGGGCGCCCCTCCCTGGCGCGCGGAGCGCGCCAGTGGCGGCGCCAGCGGCGCCGCCGCGGGGGCCCAGCGCGGAACCAAGAGATCCGCGCGGACCGTCGACGGTTGATTAAATGGGCCTAGGGACACACAAATAAATAAGACACAGTCGCAAACCTGGGGCAGCCAACATGCGCGGCCGCCTCGCGGCCACGAACGGCTGGCTAACCCGGGTCAGCCAGAGGTTGCCTTCGCAGGATGCAGCAGGATCCAGTGCCCTGGCTGACCCCTGTTTGCGTTGACCCCCGTCTTTTGAGCCCCGACACCTGGGCTCGGCCTTGGGTTAGGTCTTGCGTGTCCCCCTACAGGCGGATTTTGGACGAAAAAATAAAAACATGTCACAACATTTTTCAAACATATTCAAACGGACTAAGAATTCGTTTCCGTTTTTGTTTAAACATATATATAACTAGAACCACGCGCGCGCTTCGCGCGCGCTTAGGTTCTGTCGAGTCACAGACCCAGGAATCGTTGTGAGAAGAAATTGGTGACGCGAAGCGTCGTGGGGGCGTCCTTGGACGTCTGGGGTCTCCTGGGGCCTCTTGAGGGGCCTCCTGGGGGCCTCCTGGCGGCCTCTTGGGGCGGAAGGCTCGAGCTTGCGGTTCGTGGTCCCCCTCTGGGCCCCCTCTTGGGCCCGTCTTGGGGCCCTCTTGGGCCATCTTGGGCGCCTCTTGGGCCGTCTTGGGGCCCTCTTGGGCTGTCCTGGGGCCCTCTTGGAAACTTCTTGGGCCGTCTTGGGGCGGTCTTGGGCGCCTCTTGGGCCGTCCTGTAACGTCGGAAAGCCCAAAAGACAACTTTGTTGAACATGTACGTTTTACGAAGGGAATGGGCCAACTTTTGCGTCTAGGGGCCCTCTTGGGACGCATGTTGGAGGCTTCTTGGGGCGTCTTGGGGGCGTCCTTGGACGTCTGGGGTCTCCTGGGGCCTCTTGAGGGGCCTCCTGGGGGCCTCCTGGCGGCCTCTTGGGGCGGAAGGCTCGAGCTTGCGGTTCGTGGTCCCCCTCTGGGCCCCCTCTTGGGCCCGTCTTGGGGCCCTCTTGGGCCATCTTGGGCGCCTCTTGGGCCGTCTTGGGGCCCTCTTGGGCTGTCCTGGGGCCCTCTTGGAAGCTTCTTGGGCCGTCTTGGGGCGGTCTTGGGCGCCTCTTGGGCCGTCCTGTAACGTCGGAAAGCCCAAAAGGCAACTTTGTTGAACATGTACGTTTTACGAAGGGAATGGGCCAATTTTGCGTCTAGGGGCCCTCTTGGGACGCATGTTGGAGGCTTCTTGGGGCGTCTTGGGGGCGTCCTTGGACGTCTGGGGTCTCCTGGGGCCTCTTGAGGGGCCTCCTGGGGGCCTCCTGGCGGCCTCTTGGGGCGGAAGGCTCGAGCTTGCGGTTCGTGGTCCCCCTCTGGGCCCCCTCTTGGGCCCGTCTTGGGGCCCTCTTGGGCCATCTTGGGCGCCTCTTGGGCCGTCTTGGGGCCCTCTTGGGCTGTCCTGGGGCCCTCTTGGAAGCTTCTTGGGCCGTCTTGGGGCGGTCTTGGGCGCCTCTTGGGCCGTCCTGTAACGTCGGAAAGCCCAAAAGGCGACTTTGTTGAAAATGTACGTTTTACGAAAGGGAATGGGCCAACTTTTGCGTCTAGGGGCCCTCTTGGGACGCATGTTGGAGGCTTCTTGGGGCGTCTTGGGGGCGTCCTTGGACGTCTGGGGTCTCCTGGGGCCTCTTGAGGGGCCTCCTGGGGGCCTCCTGGCGGCCTCTTGGGGCGGAAGGCTCGAGCTTGCGGTTCGTGGTCACCCTCTGGGCCCCCTCTCGGGCCCGTCTTGGGGCCCTCTTGGGCCATCTTGGGCGCCTCTTGGGCCGTCTTGGGGCCCTCTTGGGCTGTCCTGGGGCCCTCTTGGAAGCTTCTTGGGCCGTCTTGGGGCGGTCTTGGGCGCCTCGTGGGCCGTCCTGTAACGTCGGAAAGCCCAAAAAGCAACTTTGTTGAAAAATGTACGTTTTACGAAGGGAATGGGCCAATTTTTGCGTCTAGGGGCCCTCTTGGGACGCATGTTGGAGGCTTCTTGGGGCCTCTTGGGGGCGTCCTTGGACGTCTGGAGGCCATCTTCAGCATCTCGGAGCCCTCTTGGAGGCCTCTTGGAAGTTTCTTGGGCCGTCTTGGGCGCTCCTGGGGCCGTCTTGTCTGACCGGGGAGGCCTCCGGCAAGCCCCGACGAGCCTCCGGGCCCCCCGGGGCGCACATTTGTGGTCGGGGTCCCGGCCCCGGGCCCCCGGACCCGGTGCGCCGTTATATGTATATGCTTGTTTTATTTTTAATAATGTATGTATACCTTTTTTTCTGGGGAAAGAACTTGTTTTGAATTTTCTTGGCGGCGGGCAGAGGGGCGTAGGGGGAGGGGGGAAGCTTCTTAGAAGTACCCCTGCTTCTTAGAAGGTGCGGTCCTTCTCTGTAGATGTAAGGCTGGCGCCTTCTAAGAAGCAGCCTCCTTCTAAGAAGCCTTCCCCCCTCCCACCACCCCCTTCTGCTCGCCGCCAATATATATAGTACCTTCGTATGTGTATATATATACACCTTCTTTTATGTACAGTATTTATTTGTTATTATGAAATACATTTTGTAAAAAAACTTGTTTTGAATATCCCCCCTGTAGAGGGACACGCCCGACGTAAGCCTTGGGCCGGGCGGGCGACGAGCCGCCGCGGTCTGTCGCCTGGCCCCCCGCCGCGCTGGCCTGCCGGGCCGGGGCGGGCCGCGCCAACCCGGGGGCCTCGCGCGGCCGGGGCAGCGCGGGCCGGTGCCCCGCGCTGACGAGCGAGCCCGTGCTGCTCCTGGAGGGGGGTCGACTGCAGCAGAGGGCGGGAAAGCCACCCCCACAGGAATCAGCCCGACGCGCAACCAAGGAAGGAATCAAGCAGGGCAGGGCTTTTGGTAAATGCCCAGGGCCGTTTCGTAAGCGCCAATGGTCTGGTCGGGCCTGTCCCCCTACAGGGGGGATTTCGACGAAAAATGCAAAAAAATACACCCAAAATAGCCCCAAAAGAATGCAACATTAGTCAGGGGACTATTTTTGGAATATTTGTCTTTTATCTTTTTGGGGCATTTGTGGGGATCTTTTTATTTTTCGTCGAATATCCCCCTGTAGGGGGACACGCCCGACTTCAGCGAAGCCGTTGAGCAAACGCACCCCGGGAAGGCATCCAGCAGGGCGGGGCCTGTGGGAACCGCCCAGGGCCGTGTCGTAAGCGCCAATGGTCCCGTCGGGGTGGGTTTCTCCTCCCTTGACGCAGAGCTGACTTGCCCCAGAACTGACAATCTCGTCGAGCCCATGAGAGGACCCATCGTAGAATGGTCCGCAGATCTGCGGAGCACTCTGCGCATGTTCCGTCGAGCCGATGGGAATACCGATTTTGGGGTAAACCAGCTCTGTGCACGATCCCCCACTCGATCCTCTGGAAGCTGAAGTTGGCCCCGAGCTCCAGCGAACTCTGGAAGTCAGGCAGGTGCACGGCCTTGCGCCTCGCGTCGTACGCTGGGTTGGCGACGAAGAGGGTGAACTCTTTCGCTTCCGTCCATGCGCTGTGCAGCTGGGACATCCCGGAGCTACGGATATCCTGGAGCAGCGCGACGACGCGGCTCCACCGCGCGACGACGTCGCTGGAGTAGTCGAACTGGGATATGACGCTCACCCTCCTGCTCCCCACGATGTCAGTGGGAACTCCAACCGGAATGTTTATGCTCCAGCGTCCGTTCCCTGCATCGGCGGGAGACAGGCTGAGACTGCTGGCAGAGGAGCACCAGCTTGATTTGCGCTCTTTGAGGCTCCGCGTTTCCATGGAGCACCACGGGGCCACTTGGCCGGCGCACACCTCTGGGTCCAGGCGGCGCGCTGACTCGATAGCGTCCTTGTGCTGCTGCCGAATCGACGGCCCCACGGGAGGCGGCTGCCCATAGGGCTCCAGCACGCAGGGAGCCGCAGGCGCTGCTCGCACGGCGCCAACCACCGCGCTCCTCGTTGACCCGCTGGGGTGGCCCTCCTCGGGGGATTCACGAAGGGAAATAGATACACACAAGTAAACTAATCCCCGGGGCGCTCCTCGGGCGCAGGCGCGCCGCCGCGAGGGGCGGCGGGCACCTCCCCGGGCAGCGGCGGCGCGCGCCCCTCGCCGCGCGGCGCCGCGCGGCCCCCGGGCGGCGCCGCCGCGCCGCCGAGGCCGCCGCCGAGGAGCTCCTGCGGCGAGCAGCAAGCCCTCGCCCTCACTCTTCCAGACCCTCCTCCAAGACCCCAGACCCCCTCGAGTAATGAAAAAATCATGACGGGAGGTTTTTCCTAATTTTCGGCCTCCTGGGGCCCTCACCGGGCCTCGGGAGCGTCAAAAAACGATTCAGGATGCAAAGCCAGTCATGGGGAAAGGGTCGGGACCTCTGGGGGTCGACGTAATCAAAATATCATTACGTCGGGGGTCTGGGACCGGCGACCCACCCCTCTCGTCTCCCTTGTCCGCAGGGGGGACCGGGGAGGGAAGGGAGCCTGCGGGGACCCTGGGGGCGGGGGCGGTAGTCTGACTCGGGGCCCCCCCACCCCTTACCATCGTTCCCTGCTGCGCACCCCCTTTCACAGGCGACCGGCCGCCAACCCAGACTGCCCTCGCCCTCATTCTTCCAGACCTTCCGTGCTGACCTTCCACACTCTTGCGCTTCGTGGAACGCTGACTTTGCTTGCGTTTCCTGAGGCTTTTTCAATAGTTTCAATGCATCGCCTTCCGCGCCCTTCCGCAGAGGTCGGAAGGTATGGAAGATGGATGTGCAGGGAGGGGCGAGCACGAGCGAGCACTCTCGGGCGGCACCTGCTGGGAGGCGCTCGTGGCGAGGCCGGGGGGCTGCTGCGCCAGAGGGGGGCCGCGGAGGCACCTGCTGGGAGGCGCTCGTCGCGAGGCCTGGGGGGCTGCTGCGGCAGAGTGGGCCGCGGAGGCAGCGGGCTGGGGCCGGAGTGAGCGGGATTGGGCGGGGGCGATGCGCCGGATGCAACGACACCGCGTCGGCCGGATTCCGCCGGAGTTCGGCCCGGGGCAGGGCCAGAATGGTACCTCCCAGGAGCTGCATCCGAAACAACACACACACACACACCCAGATCCGTCGGTCGGAAGGAGTGGGTGGACACACGAAGCAGGCAGGCGCACTGAGACTCGATGGGGCGTTCGCCCGCCCCCTCGAGGGGAGCAGGGCAGTGGGCACAGCACTCGACTCTGAAAGCAGGGGGGCGCCCAGAGTAGAGACTGGGACCTGGGCCTCCATCAGCACCTATGCTGAGCGACCGACGGGTACTCCAGATTTCGTAACAAAGGGAGGAGGGTCTCATTTCGGGGGGGGGTCTCTTCCAGGCTATCTTGGAGGGCCTGGGGGGTCTGGGGACGATGTTTTGGAGGGTTCTCCCATTGGAGGGTCCAGACCCCCTCCCTTTTATCACGAAATCTGGAATACCCACAGGGGGGATCGGAGAACGGAGGACTGGCCACGGGCACGGGTGCGGGTTGTCGGACCGCGGGGGGGGCTCCCGCTCGAGCGGGGCCCCCCCAGCTGACAACAAGCACCCGTAGTCCCCTCCGTCCCCTCTGTGGGTAGGGATAGGGGTCTTTTCAGCAGATGTGCCAATCAAGACCGCCCACAATCATGATCCGTAATGCAAAGGCGTGGACCCAAGTGAGGCCACGCCTTCATCGAGTTGCTGGGGTGGGGGGTAAGTTTGTTCTCGATGGTCCTGCGCGCGGCGGAGGCCCGCGAGCGCCTCTCGGCGGCGCCCGTAATACGAAAACCCCAGACATGATCGCGTCGTGAAGGGACATGGCTGGAATGCTTGGCCGTGGTCGGCCTCCGGGGGGGCCCTTGGCTGGGCCCCGGGACTGTCAGACAACGACTCCCACCGAACAGCCAGTCCAAGGAAACGGCTCGCTCGCCATCGCTTGGACGTCCATTCCCTGTTTTTTTCGGTTTCGTGCGTGGTTTCTTGTGCCAAATGATCGAGGATGCTCCTCGATGGTCCTCGCCGAAGGAAAAATGCACACGTCCGAGCGATGCCATGCTCGGGACTCCCGGGAACCGCGCATACTTCAAACATCATGACGCCGCATGTCTGGGAGACCCCGAGATCCTGGCGCTGCATCTTTTTCTCACAACGGGCGTTCTCGCCAGGTCTGGGGCCCGGTGAACACCACAGATCGACCCCTCTCGAGAAGTGCCGCAGACAACTGGGGTCGGGGGTCGTGGCCGTGAGTTTTCGCGGTGCTAAGAAGGAGGAGGAGCAGGAGGAGGAGGAGGAGGAGGAGGAGGAGGAGGAGGAGGAGGAGGAGGAGGAGGGGGGAGGAGGAGGAGTAGGAGGAGCAGGAGGAGGAGAGAGGAGCAGGAGGAGGAAGAGAGGAGGAGGAGGAGGAGGAGGAGGAGAGGAGGAGGAGGAGGAGGGGGGGGGGAGGGAGGCCTGGAGGGGGGGGGGAGGAGGAGGAGGAGGAGGAGGAGGGAGGGGGGGAGGAGGAGGAGAGAGGAGTGCATTTCGTCGCAACGTCGGATCCCAGGGTACTGCGAACAGCGCCCAGGCACCGAGTCCCCCTTCGTGCCCCGCTCTCCAGCGCGGTACGGTGCACAATTTCTGTTGGCTCCGAGGGTAGACAAACTTGTGCACTGCATACCAGTCCTGGGGCGAAGACCGACGGCGCCTCGGGAGGAGTCCCACGCGGTACGGTGCGCACAAGTCGTCCGCGGACAGAAACAGAGCTCGAGCTTCGAGTCGTCCGCGGACAAGTCGTCCGGTAGTGGGCTTCGAGCTGCGCGCAGACAGCGCCCCCGGGTAGACCCCGCCGGCCACAGGCGGCCCCCCCCCGAGTCGTCCAAGGCCATGGCCGCAACGGGCTCCCCGAGTGCTCCTGACCATGGCCTCCACGGGCCCTTGGCTGCTTGGAAGGCCTGCTGAGGCCAGCTCGGACCACTGGGGGGGCCCGTTGAGGCCAGCTGGGACTGTCTGGGGGGCTGCCTGTGCGCAACCCGACGCTTCACCAGTCACTATGAAGCAACAACAAAGAATGGCCCTCACTTTCTGGAGGTCCGCGCGGGTTTCTTGGATCGTCGCTCGCGCCAGGGTGGCCCAACGCCGATGCAAGAAATCCGCGCGGTCTTCCGAGATATTCTGTTGATGACTGTTTTTGATATTCGAATGCAGTGGTCGCGCGAGGGGGGCGGCTTGTTACGATCCGGAGGGGCTTCTTCGAAGGCAGAGGCCCTCTTAGGAAGCCCCGTAGGCTTCTCAGAGGCCAGGCGGACTGCTATGAGAAGCCCGCCTGCCCTCCCAGGCCCCCCACGCCATGACTTACTCAAGACGTGGGCTTCCAGCAGTCTGGACCCATTCTATGAGGCCGTTTTCCATCCCGAGTCGTTTTTGTTGACGGTCCCGATGGCAGGCAAGGGCTCCCAGAGGCAGCTTTCTCCATGTTTTTTTCAATGTTTCCCATGTTTGTCATGACCTATACATTCATGCTCATGGATTTTCATGTTACCCCATGCTTCTTACAATATGTTATCAATGCTTCCTCATGTTCTTTTCATCACCCGAGGGGGCCGGTCTGGGTTATTAGAAGCTCCGTCGCCTTCCTAGTAAGCCGCCCCCTGCGCGCCACCCTTAATGGGCGCCGCCAATGTAGGTTACCCACCTGGGCGTCCAGCTGAAAGGGGGGGTGCAATAGATTTGGGGCAATTGTATTGCACATGTATTGCGCTGAAGAATTAGTTGCAGTCTATTGCAACTAATGTATTGCACGCGACAGTCCAGCAATACACTTGCGCCCCAGAATGTATTGCACGCCCCCACTCTATTGCAACCCACCACTCCATTGCAACAAACCTATTGCACCAACCTCTTGCAACTGGACCTCCTTTTGGGTCAACCAGAGCCAGGCCTCCTCGAGGGCGCCGGAGAGCTCCAACTGGACCTCTGCGAGAAGCGTCGCGGGCGTGGCCTCGCCGTGCCGCCGCCGCCCCCCAGGATCCTGGCACCACAGCTCTGCCGCAGCGGGCGATTCCCTGCTTCGGCTCGCGCCCCAGGGCCCTCACGGATCGATCCGGCTCGAAAGATGCCGCCCCAGACATGGAAGGTCCTCACAGAAGCTCAGGGCGGAGATGTTTCTCCATTTTCGGGCTCTGAGGGCCCTCACCGGGCCCCGGGACCGTCAACAAAATGACGCTGGATGGACAGCCAGCCCAGAAGGGTTGGGACTTCTGGGGATCGCGCGTGGAATAATAACAGGGCATCGCATATGTCTGGGGCGGGAACCTGGGGCCCAGGGCTCGGGTGGAGGCCTTTCGCTTCGATGCTGCCTGCAACTCTGCCGTGGCGTCGGATGTCAGCCCTGAGATCCGACGTCCCAAACAACAATGGTCCACCGCGAAAAATCTAGACCGGAGCCCTGGGTGCCCCATCTTTCTGCGCCATTGTTCAAATCGGACCGATCTCTGAAGGTCCGGGGGCCTGAAACGGAGCGGAAACGCGCGGCTCGAGGCGTGTGGCGCCCAGAACCTGGACAACGAACCAGTCCAAAGCGCGTGGAAAGGCTTTGGGAGACGCCTGCAAGGGCGCGTGAAAGGATTTCTGGGAAGCTTGCAAGCTGTCTGCGTCATTTTTCCAGACCAGAGGCCTCCCAAAGGGGGTCCGAGTAGATGGGGTCGGAGGATCGCGCCGCATCGTCGATGCATCACTGATGCATCATCGATGCCTGCGCAATGCATCGGCCTCGTCGTCGATGCATCGGCGACGTTGGCGACGGGAAAATCGGGCTCCACACCGAGCCGCATCGGCGATGCATCGGCCATGCGGCGCGATTCTCCGACCCCATCTGTGACGCCTAGGTCTGTGAGGGTCCCGGGGCCCAAGGCCGGGCCAGAAACGCTGGGCTCGACCAAAACGGCGTCGCCAGGATCTCAGCTCAGACATGCGACGTCCTGATTTTTCCCATGCGCGGTCCCTCAAAGGCCCGACCCCTTCCCTGGGATCGGTTTT